CTCCAGTACTCTTGCCTGGAAAATCCCATGGGCAGAGGAGCCTGGTAGGCTGCAATCCATGGGGTCACTAAGAGTCGGACACAACTGAGCGACTTCACTTTCACTTTTCACTTTCATGCATTGGAGAAGGAAATGGCAACCCACTCCAGTACTCTTGTCTGGAGAATCCTAGGGACGGGGGAGCCTGGTGGGCTGCCGTCTATGGGGTTGCACAGAGTTGGACACAACTGCTGAAGCAACTTAGCAGCAGCAGCAGCAGTTCCTCTGCATTTTCATTTTACTTATATTTCTCTTACTCCATGAATTTAGGAGGAATAGTTATCTACTGTGATCTTGAAGGGCTGTTTTCCTGTAGGAGTGTTCTGGTGTAGACTGTGTGAGTCCAGTCGTTTTGATGTGAGGGCTGTATTTGGTATGGATGCCTGCCACATCTTTCCTCAGCATGTGCTGCCCGTTATTCTCCCTTGATGAAGGGTGTGTTTGGTCCTGTGCTGCCCAGAGCTTGCACTATAATGTTGGGTGGGGCCCCCTCTGTGCTCTGTTGTTGCCACAGCTCTGTTGGGGGCAGGGTCTGCTCCCCAGTTGTTGGAATAGAAACCCTGAGATCTGGTTCTCAGCTGTAGTGTGAGGTAGGTAAGACCAGAGCACTCAGCTGTGTGCTGGGACATGTGACTCTGTGACGTATCCTGCCAGCCAGTGTGCACGCCTACAAAATCAGCTGCTGCTGGAGCTACCCCGAGACCCGTCTCGGCTATGAGAACACTGATAATTGGCTCGGGTGGCAGCCTTGCCTTCGGTGTGTGCACGCTCACAAAGCATGAGCTCCTAATGTCTGCTGAAGCAGTGCCCCGTGGTGGGAGCACTGATAATTGGTTCTGATGTCAGCCCTGGGGTGGGTGGGTATGTGTGTGTGTGTGTGTGCGTGCTCCCAAAGTCTGGTGTGGCTGGAGCCACGCACCACCGTGAGCACCCTGAGAATGAGGCGTCTATGGTGGACCTACACACAGCCCTTCCTGTGTTGATTGGGGCTCCTTTGGTGGGCCTGTGCCCCGTCCTGTGTGTGCCTCCACTTATAGCCCAGACCACACTCCAGGCTCTTCTGGATATTTCTGCATAGCCAAACCAAGTCCTCTCCCCGTGTCTGTCCGCTAAAGCCTGAGTTTCCACACCTAGCACTGTGCAGACCGGCAGTGGCCGGGCAGTGAAATGGCAGCTCAATGCCGGTCCCTCTGTGTTTTGCTTGGCAGCAAGTTAGCACAGGCACACTCCTCTCTTGGAAATTCTAGACCCCTGAAGCTCCCTTGTCCTGGCAGACCTCCCAGCTAGTGAAGGAGGTTCCCAGGTGCGGGAACCAGTTCTCTTTCATAGTTCCCTCCCAGGGGTGCAGGTCTCTCTCCTTTAGTGCTACCCAGGTATATGGGGCTCGTTGGTTGGTTGAGCTCTTCTGACAGCATTTAGCTGGTATGTTGTGAGAGTTATTCCAGATGCAGCTGGAATTTTCCTGCATTTGTGGAGGGAGGTGGGCTCCATGTCCTACTCTGCCTCCTTGCTCTCCTTTCCAGGAAGGTTTTTTGAGATAAATGTCTGCCATGTTTAAGTGTCTACCTCTAGTGCCACCCTCATTTTTCTCTACCAGGAGAAAGTCGGCTTTTCTAAATGGGCGGTGGGAGGAAAAGCTTCTACATTCTTAAAATCGTAATGAGAGTAAAAGATAGGTGTCACTGGTTAGGAAAAGGTAGCAGGAAGGGCGGAGTCTGGAGGGAGATATCAACTCAGTTTCCCATTCAGCTTCTCTCTGCTTGCTCTTTCTAAAGCTCATCTCTTTCATGTGCCCCAGGCCTGCAGGAGGCAGGCAGATTAATGGCTCCCTAATACTTCTTTCTGGTGGTGGTGTGGGGAGACCATTTATCAACTAGAGCCTGAAACTGCAGTAGACTCTTGGTCCATATTCCTTTAGACCAATGAAATGTAGACCCCAGCCCCGAAACTTGAAAGAGAAGGAAATATAAAATGTAAATCTCTCTTTATAGCCTCGTAATAATCTCTCTGTCACTGTCTTACAAATGTAAACATTGGCATCACTTCAAGCCATTATTGGCTCTGAGCATAAAGAACTGCTAAGAAAAAAAGGGGAAAGAAGAAGAGTCAGGGCTTAATAACTTGAACTCCATTAAGGTCTTGCTTCCTCTGAGGAGCCTTCCCTGAAGCTCCATGGCCTGGTTAGTGCCTTTGCTCTGAGCTCCCGTGGCCCTGTGTTGAAATGACCTGGTTACTTGCCCTTTTCCCTTACTAGACCAGGAATTCTTTGTGTGCAAGAACCACATGCTATTGCTCTCTGCACCCTAGGTTTAGCACAATGCCTGGCCCCTCAGTTGACATTGTTGAGGGGGTTGCTGCAGAGTAGATCTTAAAGGCAGCTGATTTCTCAGTTCTGATCTCAGGATATTCCAACTGTCTAAATAGAGCACCTACAGGGAAGCTCATTTGTGAGCAAGGGCTTGTCGGATAGGTCAGTATTAGTCATGGCCACCAGATGGCGGAAGAGGTATTCTGACAAATGCACGAGTAAGCTTCTGTTTCTTGGACAAGCTTTAAAAAAAAGTCACTTTCTAATTTCAATTCTACACTGCATGTTTTAATTCTATGATGCCTATAATTCCTGTTTATGGCTCTCTGCAGTGCTATTAAAACTACTACACCCAAGATTCGCTATGGAGACAACCACAAAGCAAGCCTGTGTGTAGAGGGCAAGACGCAGCTCCTCCGTCTTTCCTAAAAACCCCAGGAGGCCCCATATCCCTCTCAGCCCCCCAGGAGGAAGTTCTGAGAAAACTGATAGTGGCACTTGCTGTTCCTTAGTTCTGCCATTAAGTCCAAATCTGACAACACAGCGAAATGTGGTAGCTTATGAGCAGCTTAGTGTTATCTGGTTGAATCTGGAAAAATCTAATCAGAGATGACTTATGAATAAAAATAAAGGGATAAAAATAATTATGTCTAAAGGGCTAACATTACTGAAACTCTCTAATGATGGGATCAGAGGAAGTATTTAGTGAGAATGATCAGATTCCTCGGTCATCATTCTCTATCCCCTAGTGCTCAAGCAGTTTTCTGCAGAATTTGATTCAGGTACATAAACATTCATTGAGGACCTACTATGAGTGAGAACCTATTATGTTAGGCTTATGGTAAATGCTTTGAATAAAAAAGAAAATCTATGGTCATTCCCCAGTGGTACAGTGGTTGGGACTCAGCACTCACTGCTAAGGGCTGGGGATCAGTCCCTGGTTGGGAAATTAGGAACCCACAAGCCACTCAATACAGTTGGTCAAAAAATTTTTTTTCTATCTTCCTCATCCTTGACTTGTTCATGGACTGATGGTAGGAGACAGGCTGGTAAGTAGTTGGTGATGATATAAGCTTTTAAGTGGCACAATGGGAGGATGCACAGGCTATTATGAGAAGAGTGCCTAATCCAGGCCACAGAGGAACAGGAAGAGTGTTGTTAAGGAAGCTTTCTGGAGGGTGGCTGGCACTAAAAAATCAGTGAAGAACTTTACAGCCAACTATCAAATCCAAGTGAATAGTAAGAATGCCAGAGGTAGGTCGAGGGAATACTGACGGTCAGTCTTCATGATAAGGCTGATAGTATCAGCTACTAATAACCAAAGAGAATTGTCAGAAACAATTGTATTAGGGATATTAGGACATGAGCTCCTTTGTTACAGGTGAAAAAGACAAGGGATGGGAAAAAGGGACAAGTCATGTACATGAGGAAGAAAAAAGCTGAAAACATTTGCCATTTTATTTCTCCATCTTGACAGTAACATGAAAGCCTTTTATGTGACTGTTAACACTCTCACCAAATACCATTCCTTAAAGGAGCACAGGGTATCTGGAACAAAGACACTGACTGTATAGGCCCCATGTGTCCCCACAGCAAAAATCTAAAGGCCAAAAAAGCTGGCATGCCAAATTCTGACACCAATGGAGGAGACTCTGGAAGGATGATGCCAGGTTTTAATCTCCTTGTCCTAGGTAGAGTGGATTTATGGCAGTAAAAATGCAGGCAGTGGAAGAAGAGGCTGTGTGCCTATCTCCGACTTTCACAGGACTATGAGAGGACTGAAAATATTTACTTCCATAGGACAGTGTGTGATGTGGAGGAAAACAGGTCTGGCTGGGGGTCTGGAGGCTCAGGTCTGGGCCCTGGCACTGTACCTAACCTGTTGTGTGTGACCCTCACAGGTGTCTTGCCCTCTCTCGGCTTCCATGTGCTCTGATGTAGAATGGATCACATCACTGATGCTCAACAGGAGCAGAAGCCTCCACCCCAACCCTGGGAAGCTTCTGGTTCATAGAGGACCAGGCTGGAGCCAAGGACAGGAGCCCTCCTACAATGCGTAGAACAGTGCTGAACAGGTGAATCGGTGCCCCAGGTTCCACAGCTAACACACCAGAACTTCTTTTCAGGGAAAAGCCTAGAACATATTTCTGAGTCAGACCTAATTCTCCTGTAATTGTAATCCAGAGGTGTTTTATTTTTTTGGTTCATGTTTAATACGTGCTGAATGCACCAGTTTCTATGGTTGTGGCCTCTTGACACTTTTGTCACTTTGGCCTCTGTACTTTTTGATCAGAATGACTCCTGTCTCTACTTAATCTGAACCTACTTTCGATAGGCGTAAACATCTGACTCCATGACGTCTTCTAGTGCTGCCATGTCTGGCCATTTATACGCTGCAAGTATTATTATTATAAACCAATTTTCCTTTTAAATTCTCTTTATTGCTATATTCAGGCCATTATGCTATTATTAAATATATCCACAGGCAAGTTATACTAACCAAGAATTTCATTTCAGGGTAGAAGAGGGAGCATTTCAAAGTACTGGCTCTAACGACGGGAGGTGTTGGGACCAAAGGGACACAGAACAAGCCCTTGTGGGGATGAGCTCCAAGTTCTCTCCCCCAAAAGCCCCCAAGCCCGAGATCAGTCACCTCTGCGCAGGGCTTGCAGGCTCTGCCGGGCCTGGCGGTGCAGCTCCTCCACGCAGGGTGGCCTGGTGGCCGGGAGGAAGATGTTTCTCTGCTGGTGCCACGGTGCACGATAGTACACGCTCAGCTTGCTCTCGACATCCAGGTTGGAGACAGCTGTGAGATCAAGAGGGAAATAGGGCATTAGACAGGAGCAGCTTTCAGCTGTGCATTGCACTGTCCCCGGGGTGGAGAGGGGAACAGGAGTGGGGCCTGGGCACAGTGGAAATCCAGTCCGCTGCACTGACCAGAGGACCTCGAGAAAGGTTTCAAATTGCCAGTACAGACAGGGACAACCTTTGCCCCCCCAAAGCAAGGGACAAGAGACCCTGGCTTGAGCTAGGCCTCAGAGTGGGGTGAGGTCCTGCCTTGTAGGAAGGCAGAGAAGCACCAGAGGAAGGACTGGACCAGTCTTCTGGTCCTGGGTCTCAGAATTATAGAGTTCTGCACAGATGCTCCCGATGCCTACCTGATCAGTGCCCTTGTCTTACTTCCTATCTCTGAACCTTACCACTGAGCCATATATTATCCGCCAAACTATCTGCCCATCATTCAAAGCACTGCTCAGCTTCCTTAGTTTTGCCTAAGTAAGAGCACAAGAATTAAAGAACTTATTAAATAACCTATTACAGCGGTGATGTGTGTTAGGAAGGGAAAGTACACATAGTATTGGGGAGGAAAGGGGCATGACAACGCCTTTGAAATTCCAGCAGAACTCCTGAGCACTGTGCGAGCATCAGGATTGGTAGGATATATACCTCTGTGGTGGCAGTGATTTAGTCGCTAAGTTGTGTCCAACTTTTGCGACCCCATGGACTGTAGCCTGCCAGGCTCCTCTGTCCATGGGATTCTCCAGGCAAGAATACTGCATTGGGTTGCCATATCCTTCTCAGGGAATCTTCCCAACCAAGGAATCAAACCCGGGTCTCCTGAATTGCAGGCAGATTCTTTACCCACTGAGCTGTAAACTGAGGGTAAGTTCTCAGAGTTGCTAGGTGGTGTAGTGGTTAGGACTTTGGTTCCCAATGCAGGGGTCATGGGTTTGATTCCTGGTGGGGCAGTGGAGGAGTGAGGAAGCCAGGTCCATACTGTATTAGTGCATAGTGGATACGTGGATTCTTTGTTGGACAGTGCAAAAGTGATGATGTAAGTGTAACTTACAGGTACATGGGGGTACTTATTTAATTCTTGATTTGGCTGTGCGGGGTCTTATTTAGGGCTTCCCTCAGAGCTCAGTTGGTAAAGAATCTGCCTGCAATGCAGTAGAGACAGGTTTGATTCCTGGGTCGGTCAGGAAGATCCCCTGGAGAAGGGAATGGCAACCCACTGCAGTATTCTTGCCTAGAGAATCCCATGGACAGAGGAGCCTGGCAGGCTACATCCATGGGGTCATAAGAGTTGGACATGACTTAGTGGGTCTTATTTACGGCATGCGATCTCTTGGTAGCGGGATATGTGGATCTCATTCCCTTACCAGGGATCGAACCTTGGCACCCTGAATTTGGAGCTCAGAGTCTTAGCCAATGGACCACCAGGGAATTCCCCCTTTTTACATGCTTCATCCTGGGAGAAGGACTAGCTGCAGAGAGAGCACTGGTGGCATGAAGACTTGGGCTCCAGTGGTTTTCTGTGAAGAGAGGCCAGTACTAACCCCAGACTGGGGGCCGGAGAGACTCAGTGCAGGATTCTACTTACTCCTGATTCTTATATTTCCCAACAGATCCTAAACCCAAGCCTCCACCTGTCCTTAGAGATGAACCTCACCTTCCCACAAGATGGATGGACACCAACTTCAGATGAACCCAGTGACCATAACCTTGTGGTCGATACATCACTATCTGTCGAGGTCTAGACAATCCCATGACCTTCAGAGTTCCCAGAGGACAGACAGTAAGTTCAGCCTAAAAAGACGTCACACTGCCCTGTGGACAATTCTTTTAGCACTTTGGTTCTCTGGTCTCTGTCTGCAGTGCTGTATGTACTTCTGGAATATGACTATCACTTCACACCACCCTCCCCCAGTCAGCCTTCCTTTAGGCCAATGTCTCTCAATGCTGCTTGGGGAACAGACAGCAGCTTGGAAGCCAGAGCTGGCTTCCAACCCCAGATCTTCCAGGCACCAGCTGTGTGCCTTTGCACATGTCACCAGGTGAAACTCCTTTCTTTCTCCCTCTTGCTCCATCCCTTCCTCCCCAGCGTCCTGCCCACACACTGTTCGGCAGTGTGTGAGAGGGAGCAACCCAATGCCAGAGCCCAGTGTCCACGGTCTGTCCCTGCCAGGCAGCCTTTTCGAGAGAACCACAGTCATTCCGTGCTGTGGACACAGCATCCACCATGGACACCCTCAGTGTCAGAACTTGTCAGGAAGCCTAGACTTTTCTAACACCAACGGAATAGTGAAAACCTGGCTGTGTTTTTATTTATGCACCACACAGATCCAGAATGATTTTTCCCCTATAAAAACTTCTCTAACTTCTAAAATATAATGGAGCTTCACACCAGGAGTACTGTTTACTTATTAGTGCTGCTGTTTGCACACCTGACATCCTGTAGAAAGACTGGCAGAAGCCTGGGTTCTACTCACAGTTCTCTGCCCTGGGACAAGTCACTGACCGTGCCTAGGACTTGAGTTCCCCATCCTTATGAATCAGGGTTTGGCCTTCCTGTTGGCTGAAGGAGGCCCGTCTGCTCTCTGTTCCTCTCCTTTCTACCCACCACCAAACTTCAGGATGCACTTGTGGAAGGCCCTGGGCTCTGGGGTGGAGAGAGACGGGGTTTCTGCCTGCCTGCAGTGGTCCAGAGCAGGTGACTGAAATCTTTGGGCCTCTGTCCCCTCCTCCATAAGCGTGGATCCTAGAGCCTTCAAAATCCAAGGAATCCAAGGAAATGATCATGATATGATCATTCCTTGACATGTCTCTGCTTACTAAATACTAGTTCCCCTTGCTGTGGTGGGAACAGATGAGATGAAGGGGCCAGGCTTGGGGTCAAAGACCAAAGTCTGGAGCTCTCTTCCTTTTTTATTTTCCTGTCTTCATGGTGAGTCATGTGTAAACAAACATGAGGTTACCAGAGATGACTGTTGGTGGGGGGATAGGGTGTCTTACATTCTAGAAACTGTAAAGAAAGCTGCCTACAACCAGGGAGCCTGTGGCCTCTCTGAGAGGTAGGATGTCCCCAGTCTCTGATATTAGCTAACTTGGGCAGCTTAGAGATGCTAATTCTCTGAGTCACTGTGAGAGCTGCAGCACTATACATTCTCCCTGGAAATGGTTTATCATTTTCTTGTTTATCTGTGGGTCATTCTGCTGCCGTGTTCTACACCATGCACTTCCTCCAGAGTATGTAAGCATGCACCCATCTGTCACAGCTCGGCTATTGTTTTCGGAAAATTCCTGTGGGCACTGAGCAGCGCCATTGGATTCTACTGCTGAAGAAACCTCAGAAATGACGGAGTTCTGTGTTTTTGCAAACCACGGGGCATGACCCTTGAAAGGATTGTGAAATCCATTCAGCAGATCAGGACTAGCATTTTTTAAACAAAGACATACAAGAGACTGGAATAGAAAATGCCAACATGTATCACATGTAGCGTTGTTTTGTGAAGCTGTTGGTTCTGTTACATATGCGTTCATTTGTACATGTGTGTGCGTGGATGCTGGGGTGTGATGCAGACATGTACTTCTTGCTCTGGGTACCAGTCAACATATGGAAAGTTACTGCTTAGACCACTGCTCTCAGGTACTAATGAAGGAATCAAGGTTCCAAGGTATGACCCAAGATCCCAGAGTTGATTTTTGGCAGAGGTGGAAACAAAGCTTAGGTCTCCTGAGGCCAGGTCCATGCACTTCCCTCGGCAGACTTCCTCCCCTTCCCTGCCATCACTTGGCCTGGCTGCTGCTCCCTTCCTCTCTGTTGGTGACTATTTGCTATCTATTACATCTATTAGGTTGTCCTTCCAAAACCAAAACTCTCAACTCACAACACACACAAGTTTCCCCTGTTGTCTGAGAAAGCAGCCATCTGAACTTGAGGATGCCAGCAACACTTCAGCCCAGGGAGCAGAAAACAAGTTTCCCAGGGACGCTGATGCTCCCAGTCTGCAGACCATATAGTGAGGACCACTGCTTTCCAGAAAGAGATACTGAGGCAACAACGTAGGTACTCGACTAAACCACATTACACGAGTGATGTTCAACCATTTTGCTCTACACAAACCTTCTCTAGAGTTCAACCTAGTAAATAGATCAACCCCAAGGCCAGATTCACTAGAAAGGCTGTCGTGTTCTCAGATAGCGGTAACGCACCTGCTTCCAGAAACCTGGACTGAAGGCAACCACTCCATCACCAAGTCCTGACACCTCTGTGCCAGTCTGCAAGACTTGCATGCCTGAGCTTAAACCAGAGTGGGAGCCTGGCTCTGCCCTTGTCTTGTCAGCCCCACAGACCTTAAAAAGACACTGGCACTTTTACATGGTGGCAAACAAGTTACAGTATACAAAAGATAATACAGATCAGAAATAAGGAATTGGATCTTTCAGGAGAGCCTGATGGATAACTAAGGAATGCTTCTAAGATTCAGAGAAGGGCGACTTGTCACAAAGCTATTTTCATTATTTGCAAAGAACCAGGTGAGGTTGGTTGTTTGAAAGCAGGAAAATGGAGATGCAAGAAGACACTCTAACCACAAAGATGCATATGGTGTTTTAAAGTCCCTTCACTCCCGCCAGGCTACAGAAGTGATGTTATGAATGCAAGTACCTCTCGTATTCCAGGGAAGACAGTGGAGCTGGAGTGGGGGAGACAGATCAGAGAAAGCATATGAAAATCACCTTTCTGCTCAGGAGACACTGCATACTTATCACCAGTATGGTGCCCAGACTCTCTGGTCTGCTTGGACAGGTGCCCTGGGCTCGAGTAAATCATGACACAGTAAGGTAATTAGCACATGACACCCGATTATACATGCTAGCAAATCTCTTCTCCTAGATAGAGGTGAGACTCTTAAAAATTACTTAGAGATCACCAGCAACAATGGAAAATGTAAAAATATCCAGACTTACAGAAGGTCCCACATACCCCTCCACTGCACTCCACTAAGACTTATTACTTACTTG